CATAAAGAATAAACATGTATGTCAAGATATCAATCATATATTTTAACGATATTATATTATGAAGAATATTGAATTAGGTACCTACCTACATTAATTTTCAAAAAATTTTAAATTTTGTAGATGAGCTTTGAGTGGCTTGCAAATTTTTCTTGACGCTTGGATCTTTAAGTRTCCTAAAYACTCTTTGTATTAKTGTATTCTTAAAACTTAAAAGATTAGATACCTATATTGTAGTCTGAACCATGACTAAATAGATCTATTTCATCATGGTCTGAACAGTGTTGTGTAGGTAAATTYTTATCGGCTCGTCTTGGGACGACGTAGCCCCGTTGATAGATACCAMAATATTATAATATTAAGCACTAGATACCTCTAACAAAAAATATTATAAATTGTGTAATATTTTCTGAAAAGGTTATCAACGACCTGTAGCGCCATCTGACGACACTACAGCCGTCGTTTAGACCTGCCTTAACATCGATTCGAAAAACGGGTGCTTTGAGTGTATAAAACGCCACAACAGAAATACGTAACAGCAATAATAATAATAATAATAGCGAGCAAAGTTGTGTGTCGCGCGAGCGTTGTTGCATAAGTGCGCGTAACGCCTTGGTCGCGCATCATTCCACCACCACCTCGCAAGCCGGTTAGGTTCACGCTTTCTATTGAAGCTATACAACTTTCTGACTTTCATATCAATCCATCAGTGCCGCACACAAAATGATAACCCTCACTACTAAGAAGGTGTCCGCTGTCCGCAACACCCTGCAGGTAAACTATAACACAATATCGTTCCAAATGTGGTTAAAAATTAATTTTAATAGAACTCATAATGATATCGCATCATTGTTTGATGGTTTGCATACAATTTCGAAATAAATGAATTTATTCATWTGATATGAAGTGCGTAAGGATTACAGTAAAATAGTTATATTATTTTATATTATGTATAGTTATATTATATTATAGTAAAATAGTTATACTTATAAATAGATATAGGTCAGGAAACCGTGTACGTAACACTCTGCAAGGGTGTCACTTCGATTTTCGATCGTTTTAGGCCAACCCCTTTTTACCCTTATTGTTACATCATATTTTATATATACCTATACCTAGTGATTAGTTCGCTTACAGCGTATCGCATTTACGGACGTGTGAAGRAATTGAATAAAAAATGTTTATTAAAAATGGAGCTGTAGTACAGTTATATCATCTTTATTTTTAGGGGAAGGAGGCTAGAATTATATAGGCCACATAGAACTACAGATTACTTGCATCTGCACCTCTTTCCAAATGAATAAGTATTTCAAAATTCTTTAATGGATAATAATGTTTTTACGCAACTTCTTCAATTCAACTATATAACAAATAATGAAAAATATTTTGATATGAATGTTTTAATTTGTATAACTTTAAATTTAAAA